CCCAAAAAATCGGAATTCCGATTTTAATCGGAAGAATATCATGTCTGATAATGACCGGGCCAGGACAGATCCTGGCAGATGCCTCTGCACTGGTCAGCCCTGTAGAGTGGACCAGACTAAGAAAATTAACGCCCCGTGGGACTAGAACAGGGGTCGCCAACCCTTTGGACCTCAGGGACCACCAAACTCATAATTTTAAATTCCACAGACCAGAGACCCTGGGAAAATCCCCCAAAAAGTCTGCAGGAAAATTCCCCACCCTGTTTTCCTACCGATCGATCGATCTTTATTTGGGATGGCAGGATACCGTCTCCAGCTGCATTCTCAGGGGAAGAGAGAGAGAGGGAGAGACTTTTGGCTTCATGCAAGGAAAGCAGCAGAAGCCGCAGAAGTCTTTCTCTCTCTCCCCCAAACTCTGCTAGAAATGAGTCTTTGCTGGCGCAGCCTCTTGGAGCAGGAAGCCTTGCAGGGTCCCAAAGACTCATTTCTGGCGGAGTTTGGGGGTGAGAAAGAAAGACTTTGGCTGCTTTCCTTGCATGCAGCCAAAAGGAGAAGAGGAAGCGGAAAGAAGCAGCCCGGTGGCCAGGCCAGGTGCGTAGGGCGAGTGGGCAAAGTTTCCCCTCTCCACCCTTTCCCCCCTCCCCTCACTATCTCGTGTTGTTTACAATGCAAGCCTTGTGTTTGGGAGGAATGGACAAGAGAGCAACATGTGTTGTGTGGCTTACGGGGGAGGAAAGGGCCCTGATTCCCTTCATTAGCCACACCTGGGAAGACAGCTTATAAGAAAGGCATGCTCAGTGCGGCAGCTGCTGGGAGCAAACGTGACTTTATCCTGTGTTGTCGTTGCTCTTCTGTGTTCCTGGTGTCTTCCCAACCGTGTTGAGTTATTGTCATGCCTTTACATCCGGAATTCTTGCTCCTGCCCTGCTGGACTAATTACCTCAGTTTGCCTTGATTGGACTTAAAGTTACAGTTTTCGTTGACCACATTTTGGACTTGATTCTCTGCAGCCAAAGGCTGTTCCTGGGAGAGTTTTTCTCTGGCCAGAAGTTAACCAGGACATTGGGGGCAAAGTTGGAGTGAATAAAGGGACTCCTACTTATTATCTGATTGTGTGGCCTTTGTGCCACGCCCCTTTGGGTCATCACAGTGCCATTGTAAGTTCGAACGGTCACTCAACGAACTGTTGTAAGTTGAGGACTACCTGTGCTTAATTGGAATAGTTTAGAAATGGAATCTTGTAAATCCAAATGAATGTCCACTCCCTGACTTCATCTTCATGTAAACTTGGGGAGGACTTGGCTTGAGATGTTTTCTCATGCTGGTTTCTTGGCCTCTTATCTAACCTAGATAGCAGCTCTTCCTCCTGCCCTCCAAGGCCACTCTCTTCACAGCTTTTCTGTGGTCTTAAGAGACTTTGGGCGCATCATCACCAGGAGACGGTGAGTTCTAGTTCTGTCCTAGCCATGAACACCGGCTAAGTGACTTTGGGCCAATCACCAGGAGGTGGTGAGTTCTAGTCCCGCCTTACGCATGAAAGGCAACTGGCTGACTTTGGGCTTGTCCCTCTCTCTGTCAGCCCAACCCACCTCACAGGGCTGTTGTTATGGGGGAAATTAGAAACAGAATCAACAGAGATGGAAGGGACCTTGGAAGTCTTCTAGTCCAGCCCCCTTGCTCAAGCAGGAAACCCTATACCATTTCAGACAGACGGCTGTCCAGTCTCTTCTTAAAAACTTCCAGGGTTGGAGAACCCAGAAAGTTTTTAAGAAGAGATTGGACGATCACCATTTCTCTGAAAAAGAAGAGGAAGGAGCGCAGGGTATATCCCCCAACTTGAGGTATTTGCAAAAATCATAAAAGCAGGAATTGTGGCCTCTTGGCCACCGGCCCCTCAAGCAGCTGAATCAGAGGAGGAGGCGGTGTTGGAATCAGGATCACCATCAGGGTAACCTGAGAGCTCCTGGGGGGAAAAGAGAGAGAGAGAGAGGGAGGGAGGGAGGGAGACCGTCAGCCCTCAGTTGGAGAGTCAACAGCCTCCAGGTCTGGAGGCGGCTGATGAGGAAGAAGAAGATCAGCTGGGTCCAGTGCCTGAGGATACGCAGAAGGCAGAGGAGAGGAGAGGAGAGCAGTGGAAATCTATGGGCCGGTCCTTGGCATGGAAGAGCCAAGGGGATAAAAAGAAAGGTGGGGTGAATAGATGTGACAGACAACTATTCAATCTCCCTGCTGGACAGACTTGGCCTGCAATGAGAGAGAGATTTTTTTGCCGGGGCTGCCGGCGCTCCTAATCAAGGAATCCTTGAGTTCACTTCCGAGGGTTTGTCGTGTTTGGGAAGCTGGGTCAGGGTACAAGTAAATAAATAGCAATTCAGCCCGCCGCTGCAACATGGGCACAGCCGCCACAGGTGCAAATCAGCCCTGTTCAGATGTGCCAATGCAGTGGGTGCCCCAGGCCTCACCTGCCGCTGGCTGTACGCAAAGATGTAGGCAAAGTTGTAGCTGACCTCACGGAGGAGCGACAGCGTCTGCAAATGATCGGCCTCTGTCTCCCCACAGAATCCGGCGATGAAGTCACTGGTGAGGGTTGCATCTGCAAACAGAAGAGGTGGGTGGGATCTTCTTCCTAGTTCACTAACCGTCTCCAACCTGGAATATCCCCATCTTCGTGGCTCGTAATTATTTTTTTTTAAAAAGGGCCAGGGATAGAGGCCAACCCATGACATAAACGTGAGAGCAGAAGGGTGATATAGTAATCGGTGCAAATAAGGCAACGATGTCGTGGGGCTGCCAAAATATCTTTTTCACACACCCCTGTATCATCTGCATGCTATCCTTAAAAGTCCATAAATATGTGAGTCTGGAGAAGGGGGGTCATCAGAAAGCATAAACGAGACACACCTACCTGGTAAATAGTTGCGGAGGTGGTATACAAGCTCCAGGTACGATTCCCGCGTGTATCTGGAAGGATGAGAACATGGATGTCGGGCCCCAAACCAAGAATGACACATGAAGATCCTTTCGAGCCGAGTTCTATGCCTGTAGACAGAATCTGGCCAGACTGAAGGCTCGAATTCTCCTCATCTAAAATAGACTCTGGGAACTATGGAGGAGAGGCTGTCTTCATCCACTTTCTCTCACACAGGCTACCTGTTATATCATGCTCCTCTGCATTGCACCCCTCCCTCTTATGATGGCACCTAATTATATTCTGCCACATCACGTGTAAACTCCCTCAGCTACCACATGTGGCCTTCAATTCCCAGAATTCCTCAGTCACCCTGTCTTGGGCGCCAACCAAGAATGACAGGTGGTGATTCTTCCAGGCTGAATATTGTTTCCCACCTATAGACAGAATCTTGCCAGACTTAAGGGCTCCACTATCTCAATCCACAATATACTCTGGGAGTTATTAGGGAGAGGCTGTCTTCACCCTCTTTCTCTCACACATAATATCAGGTTTGAATTATCTCCTGGGGAATCCACTGTCTCACCACCTTCCATCACATCCTGTGTGGACTTCAACTCCCAGGATCCCCCTCAGCCACCAGGTGTGGGACCTCTAATTAAGAAGGACATATATACATAAAATATTAGAATGTGCGGAAATGGATAGGCTCACGTTAGAAATGAAAGAGAAAGCGAACTCCGGATATTATATAACGTGGGACAAATGGCATGAATGGTTAGAGAACAGATACGGAAAGTAGGAAAAATAGATTAATGCAATTAAAGTATGAGGTCTTAAGATAATATTATTCCAGACATATAAATAAGAAGGTATAGGAGATAGATGTAATTATAGATATTTATAAATAAACCACACAAGATATCTGTTAATGTATAAATAATAATCTATATAATAAGAACTATAAGATATAAATATTTGTCGATGCCAAAACGCTGTTACAAATGATTAAGACTTGTATTTGTGAAAATGTAATAAAAATTTATTTTAAAAAAAGAATGACATATGATTCTTCCAAGTTCTATATTGTTCCACACCTACAGACTAAATCATGCCAGATTGAAGACTTGACTCTGCAATCAGGAGGCTGCGAGTTCGATCATAGGTAGAGAGATATTTCTCTCTCTGGGCACACTGAGAATTATATCGGCTGAAAAAACAATTGTCAACAGGAAGGGCATCTGGCCAGTAAACATTCAGCTCCATTCAGATGCCCAGTCTCCACCACGCAAGGGATTATGGGGTGGTTAATAGAGGATGATGAACTACGGTAGTAGTCAGCCAATAGATGAATGTTTACAAGTTTGGATCTATGGTGTTCCTGTTCCTTGTTTTCTGTTATACAGTTCTACAATTGAGCAGTAAAGCACATGGTAACTGTGCTCTTTGTTTGCTCTGTGTGGTGCTTTATATACATTTCTAACACGAACTTCCCCAATGTTTCAGCAGAATGGGCTGCTGAAAGGGGATGCCACGTGGCTAGACCTTTTCAAGGTGCATTAAGAGCCCCTGCAGACACTCACATACACACAAACACGGATCTTACCCCCTCTTCATGGCCTCCAGGACACGGGAGCTGCCGCTTTGGGCAGGAAGGTGCACCTGTTTGCAGATATTGTGCCTTTCCCGCATGACCTCGAAGACCTGCGAAACGCAAACAGGGTTGTTATATTGGCGCGCCGCTGCCGGTGGGCGAGGAAGAGGTCAGCGGGGCCTGACCCACCTCATCTGGGAAATCTTTGGGGTGTGGAGAAGTGAAGCGGATCCTCATCTCTGGGTCCACGGCAGCCACTCGGTCCAGAAGCTCGGCAAAACGCAACCCGCCCTTTTTGGCTTTGTAGACGGTCCGGAATCCTTGCCTGAGCTCAGGTGATGCCAGGGAGTGAAACTGAACCTCAGAGTTGTCCCGGTAACTGTTGACATTCTGGCCCAAAAGGGTCACTTCTTTCACCCCCTAAGAGGAGAGGGGATAGATGAAAAGATGTATGTCAATGGCTTCCTATTTATGACCGCTGCTCTGTCCCCCAAGGCCATGCAATTCCCTTTTGCGACCTTCTGCCAAGCCAAGTTGATGGGGAAACCAGGTTCACTTAACAAGCGGGTTTACTAACTTATCAATGGCAGCGATTCACTTAACAGCTCCGGCAAGAAAGGTTGTAGAATGGAGAAAAAACTCACTTCACAAATGTCTCACTTCACAATAAGAATATTGGCCTCAGTTGTGATAGCAAGTGGAGGACGACCTGTCAGCCCTATTGACACAACCTGTATTGCAGGCTCACTCGCTGCTCACTGCCAGCAGTTTGATTCCCACTGGCTCTAAGTAAACTTTCTCTCATTCCGAGGTCAGTAAAATGAGGACCCAGATTGTTTGGGGGCAAGAGGCTGGCTTAGAGAGGGCTGTAAAGCACCGTAAAGTGGTATATAAGCCTAAGAGCTATTGCTACCTTCTTTCCTTCCTTCTTTCCCTCCCTCCCTCCCCCCCTTTCTTCTAAAGGTTGCTTCAGCCTTCCATCCTACCGAGGTCAGAAAAATGAGACCCAGATTGTTGGGGGCCAGAGGCTGGATCTGGAAAACTGCTTAGAGAGGGCTGTAAAAGCACTGTAAAGTGGTATACAAGCTTAAGGGCTATTGCTACCTTCTTTCCTTCATTCATTCCCTCCCTCCCTTCCTTCCTATGGTTGACTCAGCCTTCCATCCTTCCGAGGTGGGTAAAATGAGGACCCAGGTTGTTGGGGGAAAGAGGATGGCTCTGTAAACCGCTTAGAGAGCTGGGAAACAACATGAAGTGGTATATAAGTCTACAGGCTATTGCTACCTACCTACCTTCCTTTTCCTTCCTTCCTCCTTCCCTCCCTCCCGCCCTTCCTTTCTTCCTTCTAAAAATTGACTCAGCCTTCCATCATGCCGAGGTCAGTAAAATGAGATCCAGATTGTTGGGGGCAAGACACTGACTCTGTAAACTGCTTAGAGAGGGCTCTATATCTATATCTAATCTACATATCTTTCTATCTCTCTGTATCCTCTACCTACCTACCTACCTACCTACCTACCCACCCATCCATCCATCCATCCATCCATCCGTATCGTCTGTCTGTCTATCAGCTGAAGTCCACCCATCTGAAAGCATGCTGGCTGGGGAATTCTGGGGGTTGAAGTCCACAAGTCTTAAAGGTCCAAGGTTGGACACCCCTGATATAGGGTCCCCTGATATAGGGTCTCCTGTGGGACTGGACTAGAAGACCTCCAAGGTCCCTTCTAACTCTTCTGTTATTCTATTCTGGATTCCTCCACTTCCCCAGAAGGGGCTGGAAAGAACCTCTCTCTCCACCTTGAGCAGAGTTTTTAGTTGACAGGCCTGGGTCAGAGGTTCAAGTCCAAGGCCTCCTACCTGGTCTGAGAGCATCTGCACTTCCTGGAGAATGGAGGCCAAGGGCCGGCTCCGTTCGCGCCCACGGGTGAAGGGGACGATGCAATAGCTACACATGTTGTCACAGCCACGCATGATGGAGCTGGGAGAGAGAAAGCAAGCGATCGTTATGGGGACAACACAAACTGCTTTTTCAAGAGGCAAGTGGGCTGGCTTTCTGGGCTTTTTCCTTTTGAAGACGTTTCGCTTCTCATCCAAGAAGCTTCTTCAGCTCTGACTGGCTAGTGGGGAAGGATTGATATTCCTTGCAAAACAGCTGGTCATTTGCATCCTTTTGGAGGGACGTTGAGGCCACTTGGAGGTTTGTCTGTGTCCTCAGGGTTACCTGAGTGGTGCAAATGGTTCCTGTAGTCTGCAATTTTTGCCCTCTGGGAATCCGTCCCGACTCCCACACCATTCCAAGGGTGTCCATCCCAAATTGTGTAGCTAAAAGTCTGTATAGATCCTACGCCATCCAGGTCAAGGTTGTCCCAAAGAGAAGTACCTATCTGGTTATCATCTATCTAGCTCCCATCTTTCTACCAATCCAACCTAATCTAATTCCTAATCTAATCTATTTCCATCTATCATAGCTATCTGGTTATCATCTATCTCGCTATCATCTCTCTCTTTCTCTCTCTCTCCCAATCGAATCTAATCCCTAATCTAATCTAATCTAATCCTTAATCTAATCTAATCTAAGTCAATCTATCATAGCCAACCATCTGGTTATCATCTATCTATCATATCTCTCTCTCTCTACCAATTTAATCTAATCCCTAATCTGATCTATTTCAATCTATCATAGCTATCTGGTTATCATCTATCTCGCTATCATCTCTCTCTCTTTCTCTCTCTCCCAATCTAATCTAATCCCTAATCTAATCTAAATCAATCTATTATAGCCAACTATCTGGTTATCATCTATCTAGCTATCATCTCTCTCTCTCCCCCAATCTAATCCCTAATCTATGTCAGTCTATTGTGGCTAGCTCAGTCTATCATAGCTCGCTGTCTGGTTATCATATATCTAGCTATCATATCTATTTATTATCTATCTAATCCCTAATCTAATCGATTTCAATCTATCATAGCTAGCTAGTTATCATCCATCTAGTTATAGTTTCTAGCTGTCTGTCTCTCCAAGGGAGATGGGCAATTTAGAAATATGAACTATGTATCAATTAATCAATCGATCAATCTTCACTGCCCAGAGCCCCTCCCCGAGGGAGATGGGTGATTAAGAAACAAAAACTACGTATATATCAATCGATCAATCGATCTCGGGCATTTTCCACCTTCCTGGCTCCCGGGCAGGATCAAACCAGCAACAAACCAGGTTTCTCCTTACACGAAGGCCGTGGTGGTGCCAGGGTTGAGGTGGACGGGCAAAATGTCCGCGTAGGTCTCGTCCAGGGAGAGCAGGACGTTGGCCGCCTGCTGGCCGGATTCAGCCACCGTCAAGAGCCGGGGCAGGTCCCGGTAAGCGTCTGGGCCGGCCACAATGTCGACCAATTTCTCCTCCTCCAAAATTTTCTCCTTCAGCCTCTCGGCCATGCAGCCTGCAAGAAGGTGCAGAAGCGTGAGCCGAGAAGGGGAGGGGAGGGGAGGGGAGGGGAGAGGAGAGGAGAGGAGAGGAGAGGAGAAGAGAAGAGAAGAGAAGAGAAGAGAAGAGAAGAGAAGAGAAGAGAAGGCAGGAAATATTGATTTGGAGATGCCAGTTTCCCATCCTAGCCGCAGATTTTAACAGGTTCAACATCATGAGCTGTAGAACGGATGGAACCTCTTTGGGTCTAGCAAAGGGGGGGGGAGAACCACTTTTTAATACTCCCACAGATTAAAATCCCGCGGATTAAAATTAAGAACCAGGCGAGCACCCGGAGCTGAAAGATTTCCTATTTATATGAGCCTTGTTTCAACACCTTTAATCGTTACTAAGTAGATTCTTATTCATCCATTCCTTACGCCTTTGCATGTGAAGGCTTACCAAAGAAATATACTTAATTGGGAATTTATCCCACGTTTATTATTTTTATAAATGATGCAAGGAGGCGAACGTACTTAATACTCCTTCCTCCTCCAATTTTTTTTTCTCACAAGAACCCTGTGAGGTGGGTTGGGCTGGCCCAAAGTGTCACCCAACCAGATTTTGTGCCTAAGACGAGACTAGAACTCCCTGTCTCCTGGTGATTAGCCCAAAGTCACCCAGCTGGCTTGCGTGCCTCAGGCAGGACTAGAACTCACCATCTCCTGGTGATTGGGCCAAAGTCACCCAGCTGGGGACTAGAACTGTTTCCTAGGGATTGACCCAAAGTCACCTAGCTGATTTTCATGGTTAAGGCAGGACTGAACTCCCAGTCTCCTGGTCATTGGCTTAATGTCACCCAGCTGGGGACTAGAATTCCCTGTCTCCTAGTGACTGGCCCAAAGTCACCTAGCTCATTTTCATGGTCAAGACAGGACTAGAACTCACCGTCTGCTGGTGACTGGCCCAAAATCACCCAGCTGGCTTTCGTGCCTCAGACAGGACTAGAACTCACCGTCTCCTGGTTATTGGGCCAACGTCACCCAGCTGGGGACTAGAATTCCCTGTCTCCTAGGGATCAGCCCAAAGTCACCTAGCTGATTTTCATGGTCAAGACAGGACTAGAACTCACCGTCTCCTGGTGATTGGCCCAACGTCACCGAGCCAGCTTTCATGCCCAAGGCAAGACTAGAACCCGGAGTCTCCTGTTTTCTAGCCTGGTGCCCTCATCGCTAACCTGAGATACGGAGGTGAGGCCACATCTAACTATGGGCAGCTCCAGCGTTTGAAAGACCTGGGCTAATTATCCATCCCAGTCCCAGGGGTTCCCCTTCCAGAAAAAGTGGGACATTCGCCTACTATCCAGAGGCTCCCAGTCCAGCCCCGGAGGGTCCCCCTCCCCGTAAGACCCTTTGCTGGGAGCGTCCCTGTTACCTAAGATCCCGATCCGCAGAGACCCCCGTGAACGTTGCCGCTTGGTCTTGAGAGTTTTGAACACGTGCAGGCGATTCCAGACTGTCTGCTCAGCCTTCTCCCTGTCGAGCAACGAAACATGGATGAACCCTTGGCCGGGCCTGAAGAAGAGTCACTCAAAACTCTGCTCGGGGTAGAAGAGGGGCCCGTGGGTTCTTCCCAGCCCCTTCTGGGGAAGTGGGAAATCCAGAACGGAATAACAAAAGAATTGGAAGGGACCTTGGAGGTCTTCTAGTCCAATCCAATGCTCAAGCTGACCAGAAGAGAAGGAGCAGGGGAGACAGGAGAGCAATCTTCCAATATTTGAGGGGCTGCTAGAGAGAGGAAGAGGGGGTCAAGCTATTTTCTAAGGCACCCCAAAAGGCAGACAAGGAATAGTGGACGATCTATAAGGTCCTTTCCAACTCTGTTATTCTATTCTAAATATAAAGAATGGTTGCAGGAACTGGGCCTGGCTAGTCTAGGGAAGAGAAGGACCAGGGGAGACAGGAGAGCATCTTCCAATAGTTGAGGGGCTGCCCCAGAGAGGAGGTGGGGGGTCAAGCTATTTCCCAAGGCACCTTTGAAGGCCGGACAAGGAACAATGGATGGAAACTGACCAAGGAGAGATTCAACCTGGAAATGAGGAGGAGGGATTTTCTGACAGAGAACAATCAACACATGGAACAGAAGTTGTGGGAGCTTCATCATTGGAAGCTTTCAAGAAGAGACTGGACTGCCATTTGTCAGAAATAATGTAAGGTCTCCTGCTTGGGCAGGGGATTGGACTAGGTGACCTACAAGGTCCCTTCCATCTGTTCAAAAAATATGCCTGGGTTATCCAACCTTGGAACTTTTAAGACTTGTGGACTTCAACTCCCAGAATTCCAAGACCAGCTGGGGAATTCTGGGAGCTGAAGTCCACAAGTCTTAAAGTTCCCAAGTTGGGACGCTCTTATACCATTTCAAACAAATGGTTGACCAGACTCTTCTGAAAAACCTCCAGTGATGGAACACCCACAGCTCCTGGAGGCAATCTATCCCACTGATTAATTATTCTGTCAAGAAATTTCTTAGTCCCAGGTTGCTTCTCTCCTTGTTCCGTTTCCATCCATTGTTCCTTGTCTGGCCTTCGGGTGCTTTGGAAAATAGCTTGACCCCTTCCCTCTTCTCTGGCAGATCCTCAAATATTGGAAGATGCTCTCCTGTCTCCCCTGGTCCTTCCCTAGCCAGGCTCAGTTCCTGCAACCGTTCTTCATGTGTTTTAGTCTCCAGTCCCCTCATTGTCCTGGTTGCTGTTCTCTGCACTCTTTCTAGAGTCTCAACCTCTTTTTTATAGTGTGGCAACCAAAACTAGATGCAGAATTCCAAGTGTGGCCTTACAAAGCCCTTATAAACTGGGATTAACACTTTGTGTGATCTTGATTCTATCTCTGTTTATGCAGCCTAGAACTGTGTTGGCTTTTTGGCAGCTGAAACACACTGTTGGCTCATATTTAAGTGGCCGTCCACAAGGTAAATGGTGCTGCGTATTATGATTATTTCCAAATCCAAGCAAACCTTACCTGATGGAACAGGTGACAAGCAGAACCACATCAGCCTGAAATAGAGAAGGGGCAGAAAGAGCTGGGATTATTAAACACAAACAGGGGGAGGAAGAAACATTTTTCTCCCTTCTCTGGGATTAAACGTTCCTCATCTATAGAGAGTGGGCTGCTAGCCTAAACAGAAGCCTTTAAAAGCTCCATTTAAGCAGAAAATGCAGCCTTCCAGCATTCAGACTGGGTGATAACAGGGGGCTCAGAAAAAGTTTAGCAGAATCTGTTGCTCCAAAAGTTCCAATGTGATGACACAATATTAACAACCACGAATTGAACTTTGTGTCAGCATGGAGGAGACAGGATTATTGTGTCACAAGACACAAGGTGACTCTGTCAGGATGTTGGACTGAAGAGTGGGGTCCTTGGTGCTCTCTGAGTTTGGCTGTTTTCTTGCAGATGTTTCGTTACCCAACTAGGGGGCTTCATCAACGCTAGAAGGGAGAGGAGTTTGCAGAGAAGAGGAGGAGGAGGAGGAGGGCGAGGAAGAGGAGGAGCTGGAGGAAGAAGACTGGTGGTCTTTGGTGCTGAGTTTGGCTATTTTCTTGCAGACGTTTCATAACCTGATTAGGGAACATCATCAATGCTAGAAGGGAGTGGGGAGGAAGGACGACTGAGGGGGTCCTTGGCGCTCTCTGAGCTTGCTGTTTTCTTCCAGATGTTTCATGACCCAACTAGGGAACATCACCAGGGTTGCTGCTTCCTTGATTGGAATATTCACTTCTTGGTTGTTGGACTCTAGTGGTAATAATCTTGGTGCAGCCTCTGCTCACGTGGGGGTTGAAGGCGCTTTCCAAATCAAAAGAACTACTCACAAACAAGCTAACAGTAAAAAATTGTCTAATCAAGGAACCACCAGGAACATTCCCACCAATACTGACAAACCACCAGTATATAAATGAGAGAGAAAACCCGACTCCCTTTTAGCCCAGTTCGGTCATGAAATGTCTACAAGGAAGGGGGGAAAAGCAAGCAGAGAGCACCAAGGACCCCTCAACCCCCAGATTATGTCTTTCTGGGGCAGCAACCAACGAATGAGTGTCGAACTGGCACTGCTCCCACTATTCCAGCCACTGAGGCCGCTGCCGGAAAATGCCCAGCCTGGACTTTTGAGTACCTCCGCCAGGTTGCTGGTCCTCTGGTAACCACTCCGCTGGAGGATGGCCCAGGCTGTCTCTGTGTCGCTGACATTCATCTGGCAGCCGTAAGTCTCCAGATAGACTAGGAGGAAGAGGAGGAGGGAGGAAGTGAAGGAGGAAGAGGTGGAGGAGGAGGAGGAGAAGGAAGAAGAGAAGGAGGTGAAAGAGTAGGAAGAGGAGAAAAAAGAGGAAGAGGAGGAGAAAGGAGGTGGAAGAGGAAGAGGAGGAGAAAGAGGAGGAAGAGGAGGAGGAGGAAGAGGAGGAGGGTGAAGGAGGAGGAAGAGGGTGAAGGAGGAGGAAGAGAAGGGGGAGGAGGGGGAATAGGAAGAGAAGGAGGTGAAGGAGTAGGAAGAGAAGGAATAGGAAGAGGAGGAGGAAGAGGTGGAGAAGGAGGAGTAGGAGGAAGAGGAGGAGGAGGAAGAGAAGGAGGAGGAGGGGGAATAGGAAGAGAAGGAGGTGGAGTAGGAAGAGAAGGAATAGGAAGAGGAGGAGGAAGAGGAGGAGGAGGAAGAGGGTGAAGGAGGAGGAGGAGGAAGAGGAGGGGGAATAGGAAGAGAAGGAGGAGGAGGAGTAGGAAGAGAAGGAATAGAAAGAGGAGGAGGAAGAGGAGGAGGAGGAAGAGGGTGAAGGAGAAGGAAGAGAAGGGGGAGGGGGAATAGGAAGAGGAGGAGGTGAAGGAGTAGGAAGAGAAGGAATAGGAAGAAGAGGAGGAGGAAGAGGTGGAGGAGGAGGAGGAAGAGGAGGAGGAAGAGGAGAGATTCCTTAAGACAGAGGGCACCGAGTAGTTGTACCTTTTATTTTTGGAGGTTTCTCCATTCTCTATATGGGTAGTCCTTGACTTACAACATTCCTTTAGTGACCGTTCAAAGTTGCAGCACTGAAAATTGGGACTTACGGCCACTTCTCACACTCACGACCACTGCAGCATCCCCATGACCACGGGATCAAAATCCAGGCGCTTGCCAACAACTATCTAGGACGACGGCAGCATCCCATACGGTCACGTGATCAAAATTCAGATACTCGACAACTGACTCGTGTTTATGACGGTCGCAGTGTCCCATGATCCCCGTTTGTGTGACAAGCGAAGTCAGTGGGGAAGCCCAGATTCACTTCACAGCCATCCCTTCACAGCTGCAGTGGTTCACTTAACTGTGTCAAGAAAATGGGAGCAAAACGTACTTAATGCCCGTCTCGCTTAGCAAGGGAAATTGTGGTCGTAAGTCAAGGACTGCCTCTAGAATTGTAAGCAGCCCCTTTGGGCCAAGACACCCCCCCCCCATTTCTCACAGAGGAGAAACCCACCCATCTAAGATAAAAGACTAGACAGCCACTTGTGTGAAATAGTATAGGTTCTCCTGCATGAGTAGTGTTGTGGTTCGCCGGCAGCAGGTGAGGACGGCTGAGGTCTCGGAGAGCGAGGACTCAGGTGAGGGGCCTGCGTGGGATGCAGGGATGGGGCCAGGACCACCAGGGAGTGGAGTGCTGCCTTTGGAGATGGTGGAGGCTGGCAGCAGTGAGGAAGAGGCCCCCGAGGAGCCTGTGCCCAGCGCATGTGTGCGCAGGGCTGCTCGAAGGAAAGAGCAGCTGCAGCAGCACGGGGGACTCGGGAGAAAGGCTGCAAGGTGATGGCCCCTCCCTTAAGGGATAAAAGCCAGCTGAGAAACAGGAGTTCTTTGCAGGAAGCAAAGAAGTTTTTGCACTCAAGCCTTGTGGGTGTTAGGAATATCTGAGTTGGTGTTTGGAGACTCTTTGATTTATTGTTTAGGAACTTTATCTGGTGTTCTTGGCAGCCTTGCAAAAATTTGGCAAGGCTCTTTCTTATTGGAACTACCGTGTGTTTCTCCAACAATACGGCCTCCACCAATAGGAAGGCCGAGCATGTTTTATCGGCATAAAATCAAATTAAGCCCCTCCCCCCAAATTAAGGCCTATATTAAACATGCGAAATGGGGGGGAATGGCGGGGGGGGGGGGGGCTTGCCGTTAGGAAGTAGTTTTGTTGCATGCCCGGATATGGTGCTGCCTGCGTTGACTTTGGCGTTGGTGGGGCACTTCGTATCGGGAGACCTTCCGCCACCGTTGCTTTCCCTTCTCCCTTGCTGCCGCGGTGTTTAGAGCAACACCGCAGTGTTTGGCGCAGCCACGCGCGGTCAGCCAGGGCTCCTCCCTACAACCGGAGCCCGGCGGAGACACTCGGCTTCAGGCGCTCCTGTCGCCGCCTTCCCTTCGCCTTCGAAGGCAAAGCCAATTCTTTTAAAAACGACGCCCTACTACCGCTACGACAAAGCCTCCCCTGCTCAAGTGGGCAGCCCAACCCCATGCGGGGAGGCGAATCTCCCGGGGCTGCAGCGCAGGATCGGCCCACCCCAGGAGAAGCACCCAGCTGCCATCCCTGCCTGGCGCCGGGCAGAGCGCGAAGAACTTCGCCTGGGGCGCCCAGCACACCTGACAGGCAGGCCCTCCTGCCAGGCAGCAGAGCTCTCGCCAAGGCAGCGAGCGCCTTCCCGCCGGACCCTCCGCTCATCCCACCAGGGCCGTGCCGGAGCCGTGCGGGCTGGGCAGAGCCGGGAAAGCGAGCCGCGGGTGCGCGCCCGCCTGCCAAGCAAAAGAGCCGGGCCGACCTGAGCTTGGCTTCCTTCCCAAGTCCCTCCAGCGCGAACCCGAGGGGGCCACCGGGAGAGGCCGCCCGTGGCAGTGATAGCGCCCACCCATCCAGGGACAGGGAGGCGAGGCAACGGCCTGCGCTACGTCCTCCTCCGAGCTGAGCCCCGCTGAGTCAGCGCCTCTGCCTGATGCCCGTTCCGTTGCAGCGTTTGGAGCTGCCGGCGCATTTGGA